GAGCATACATTATTTACTGTTTAACCCAAATTTACATTTTACTTTACAGACCAACAATGCATGTGCATTTTTTTTCAACACACTGTAATTAAACAAAGCCAGTAGCGTTATCTTCACTTTAAGTAGCTAAAGACAAGAGATACAGGCACAGATTTAAATGTGGTCAGCTACTGGTTTAGTGTAATCAACATCAATGAAACCAGATTGGAACTACCTCCGCTATCACATAGTAGTCCTGAAAATATTTATCACAAGAAAGAAAGAGGACCAAAGAAGGAATTAAAAGTACCACCAAAAAAAAAAGGTGCAAATATTCCAGCTTTATTTACATTGTCCTAATTCCCTATGTCTGTCTTGACATGAAAGTCCTTCTTCTGTTTTTATTTATGCCCTCTATGTGTGATCAGGTTCAGCTTCTTACAGATATTTCATACTGAATACAAACATTGAAAAAGACAGCCAATTTTAAATTAACTCATTCAGTCCCAGCAGGTTTTGTGGCAGACACCTAGAGAGAGAACCCATCCCTACGACATTTTTTACCGACAGAATTTTCAAACACACTAAATTCACAGTAGAAGTGATCACTGAGGAAGCCAGGTTTCTTTACTGTACTTTGACCAAATGGAAAATATGTATATATGTGCTGCACTATTTTTGGGTTTTATGGTGAAGAGTGCATTATTTATCATGCACTGCTTGGATCTGAAGAAGGAGAGCCCACAGTTTTATTGGGGCAACACAAAACAATTATGAAGTAACCTGTAGTCCAGTGTGGGTGGGGTGAGGTATGATGTGGCTGTGTTGACAAAAACCACTATTTTCTATGTCAAAATTAATGTAAGCAGTTTTTTATTTCATCATCATCATGTAGCAGGTCCTTTGCAGAACGTCGCTCTCATCACAGTCTGCCTGTAAGAAACTCATCCACGTGTCGGTCGGCCTCTGCCCCTCCTTCCTGGTACCATGCCTTCTGCTATAATTTTTTCCAATCCGTCGTGACGCTTGATATGACCAAAATATTTCAGCTTTCGAGAAAGGATGCTGTTTATTAGCCAATCTTCCTTGATGTTCAGATCTTTTAAGATGTCAATATTTCTCATCTTCTTTGTCCAAGATATTCTGAGAATCTTTCTCTAGCATTTCAGCTCAAAAGCCCCTATTCTCTTTCTTAAGGACTGATAGTCCACGCCTCACATCCGTATGTAGCCACAGGGAAGATGCATGCTCTCAAAATTCTAATTTTTATCTCCTTGCTGGTGCTTAACCATAGACTTTTAAGGCTGTACAATCTTTGCATTGCTATGGCCATCCTCCTTTTAATTTCTCTCAAACAGTCTCCATTTGTTGTTTATTATAGAGGTTTTTTCTTTTAGTGTTTGTATTAAGTGATAACTTCAGTTCAACTGTTAAAATAACAAAATTAAAAAAAAAAAAACCTGCACACAAAAAATCCATTTATTGTGACTTGAGAGTGTGATAATGATACAGCCAGCAGACGACTTACATGTCTGCTTGGTGGTCATAAGTTTCAATCCCCTGAATTTTTTATTGTTTCGAAAACAGACTAAGCGACCAAGTTTCTTCTGCTTCTTCTTCTCTTTCTCTAATTTCTTAGGGTAGTGCCCAGGAATTATAACAATGCATTTCTTTTAACAAAATTTTGAAGAAAAAATTTTCAAAAAAATATTTTTTTTTGGGGGGGGGGGGGGGGGTGGGGGGAGGTTGGGGGGGGGGAGTGGGTGGGGGGGGTGAGGGGGGGTGGGGGTTAGGGGGGGGGGGGGGTTAATGAAATTGTTTAATGTAACAGCTATCTGTATCTGTCATAGTCATACAAATGGGTCTCCCCCTCCCCCCCCCCCCCCCCCCCCCCAATTTTTTTTTAAACAGCCCTATGAGCACATAATGAGCTGTAGGATACCAAAACAGGTATCTTACAATGTTAGTTATATCTGCTTTTCCTAAATGCATTTCCTAAATTTGTAAAATGAACATAATTTGTTTGGTGAATTATTTTATTTTAACAAATTTGCAGTGCTTCCACTGTTCACATTTGGCTTGCTTCCTTTATTTTACAGTCCTATATGCTTTTTATTTTTAACATTATTGTATAGATGGAAATGAATATTGTACTGCACATGTAAAACATATACAGGTGTGTAGAAAAAAACAGATTTATTCAATAGTAAGAAAATAACTCTGCTTAAATCTAAATATAGGCATAAAGTGAAGGAATTACAAATCAGTTTTAAATATGATTTAATATAGCATTTCTGTACAGAAAATAAAAGAAATATTGAATATTTTCAGCATTTACTGTATTTGTTCGAGCATTCTCTTCGAGGATACACTGCCACTTAAGTGGATGCTGAATCCAACATGTCTGGACGTATAGACACTTGAGCGCCATATTGTTTCATTTGATAGGAGAATGAATTTGTATGAACATATTTTAAAAAAATTAGAATTAATAAAAGAAAGTATTGTTTTCCAAGCAAGGTGAGGTCCAAGCAAGGTGAGGTCCAAGCAAGGTGAGGTCCAAGCAAGGTGAGATCCAAGCAAGGTGAGGTCCAAGCAAGGTGAGGTCCATGCAAGGTGAGGTCCATGCAAGGTGAGGTCCAAGCAAGGTGAGGTCCAAGCAAGGTGAGATCCAAGCAAGGTGAGGTCCATGCAAGGTGAGGTCCATGCAAGGTGAGGTCCAAGCAAGGTGAGGTCCAAGCAAGGTGAGGTCCATGCAAGGTGAGGTCCAAGCAAGGTGAGGTCCAAGCAAGGTGAGGTCCAAGAAAGGTGCCAAGGGTGAGGTCCAAGCAAGGTGAGGTGCAAGGTGAGGTCCAAGCAAGGTGAGGTCCAAGCAAGGTGAGGTCCAAGCAAGGTGAGGTCCAAGCAAGGTGAGGTCCAAGCAAGGTGAGGTCCAAGCAAGGTGAGGTCCAAGCAAGGTGAGGTCCAAGCAAGGTGAGGTCCAAGCAAGGTGAGGCGATAGGTTTAATTTTTTTATTTGTTTTTAATTTAATCAGTGTGATAAACTTTTTCGATTTTCCAGACTAAATTATAAAGAAAAAGGTCTATAACTGTCCATTTTGCAGCTGTTGATGAATCTAAGTCAGACAGTGACAACAGTTTTAACAATACGATTAATAATGCAAGTGCCAAACCTATTGCCAATAATATGGTTTGGGATGAAGTTGAACAAAATTTTCCAATCAGATCACCCTGTTTTGATCAGCTATGTCTGGAATTCGGTTGGTGTGAAATTTGACATGTCACACACAAATGGTCATAAAATCTAAAGTATTTAGATCAATTGTCTTCAATAAAGTCTAGCTGATGCATAATTAAATAGAGAAGGCATAGGAATTCTTAGAAATGGATAGCAGTATTGTTGATTAAGTAAAAAAAAAAAGTAAAGTAAGCACATTTATGTGTTAAAACATCTTTATATGTGTCTAACAACATATTTAAATGTCTTTTCTGCCAGTTTTAAAGTGACAATAGCTTCACAAAACTGCTATATATGCTATCCTGTGTCAGTTACGTCTGTCACAAACACAACAGGTAACGACAGCTACTGTGACATGCCTAATAAAATGTGACAGTTATGACCAATTTTTATTATTTCATTAATGTTATTTTATTTTACTGCCACTCACAAAAAGTTTCCTTCTATAAATGAAAAAAATGCAAATTTTGTGTTTTTCTCTCTCATTAAATATAAATTTTTTTCAGTTACAATTTTTACAACATTGTTTCCTAAAATCCTGTAGCAACAAATTAGAAGTTTAGGATAGCAGTAAGCACTACTGTTTAAATAAGTCAAAGAAATAAATAAAAAAAATACAATAGTAACATCAATACTGATAAAAGCAAAGCTTTCTCAGCTTACCTGACAGATTGTGGCATAGTAACTGAAGATGATTCGCTCATCGAGCTGTTCAGCAGATCACTGTAGTGCAAGTTCTCAATGCACTGTGAATTATAAAGATTTGTATCACAGTGTTATTAAACAAAATTATATTATTTTTTTATATTTTTATTAAATGAATTATAACACAAATTAAAAATTTTATGTGTCACTGCTCACTCACTCCCAGAGGGCCTTCACAATGTCTAGCTTGTCATACATCAATTCACCACCAAATGGTGCAGAACCAGCCAGTCTATCTGCCTTCTGATTTCCCAACATGCCGGCATAACCTGGAGAGAATATTCAAAAGATACTAACTACCCAGGACCTCTGAAGTGATGCTTGCCACTCTGCAGGGAGCATACCTGTCTCCACCTTTCTCAACATGCTCTGTAAGTCGGTGACAGTCATGACATGCCTCAAAAAAGCTGCTGCATCCAATGATAAGAAAGCAAAGAAGGAGTCACCATCATGGTTTAGCTCAACGTTAATAGGGTGTGATTTTTAGATCAGCAGGTGAATAACTAGCCATTATGCTATCATGGCTGCCTGACATAACAGCATACACTGCATATAGTCTTAACTCTTCAAGGCACGAGCAATGCTGTAAGTGTTGATTGAGAAATTCTGATTTGCCCAAACAAAACTGTCAGCGTCAATCATGTGTTCCATAAATATTGCTTTGCACACGGCTCCGTACTTGTTTCTAATGTTCAGAAATACCATTAAAGTACTCAGAGAAAGTTACTCTAACGATTTCCTTTTAATAACATTTCGTATCCCAAGACACATGGGCATAGATTGATCGGATTCATAGCTACATTATTTTCAACAGTGCATTTTCCAAGTTCATTTTCCACTGCCATGAATACCAATGTTCCAACAACAAGTGCAGCTGAATCATCAGCTGTTTAGGAATCTAGTGATTCTGATGAGTTTACACAGATAATGTTCCTCTTGTTTCAAAGTATACCTTGTAAGGTATGGCATCACATGTCATTTTCTCTATCTGGGTAAACAATTAAAATTGCTTTTTTTTGTGTATATAATTTACAAATGGTTCTGCGCCAGCTTATTCCCACCTTATTCATGATTTTACCTCATCTGGTCACTCCTGCAGCTCTTCTCATATCTCATTTCCATGGGTATGTTTTCTTTTATGGGTCCTTGTGAGTAACATTGGTAGTATTGAGTGGAACAAAAACTTACCTGGCTGATATCACTGCACCAAGCTGCCTTCTCATGAAGTGTACTGGCCACCAATGTTATATTTACAGGTGGGCCACTCTTTGAGTCCACAATGAGTCGAAAATCTAGACCATTGTAATCTGCTTTGGAGTCTCGTTCACTCAGACCTTGCAATGACAGAAGGTTCCCTGCTGATGTCTGACTTCCAAGGCTTAGATTGGAGTCCAGAGATGAAGCTGTAAAAGATCAAATAAAGTTTTGCTACAAGTGCACATCTGTACATGTATTGACTTCCAGCAACTAGTATCAGTGAGCTTTGGTAGTGCAGCAGCTAGGAAAGTTGCCTGCTAGTCTAGTTCTGGGCTCCATAGTGGGAGAGGATAGACCCAATGCAAGGTCCCTAAGGAATGTTATAAAAAGCTCCTCTAGTTTTTTTTTTTTTTAAACATTTAAAAAAAAAAGCACAAAATTAAATGGTATTATAGAATAACTAATGTTCAGCTATCCTTGTCATTGAGAGTTAGAAAAAGAATTCTTGCTTGCTACATACATCCAGTTTTAACATATGGCTGTGAATCCTGGACAATCGGTAGGCAGGCCTAACAATTTATTGAGGCCTCAGAGATGTGGTTTAACAGAAGAATGCTTAGAATTCCTTGGACAGCCACAAAGAGCAACCAAGAGGTTTTGAAAGAGGCGGGAGCCCGAAGAAAACTTATCACAGACATCAGAAGGAGACAGTCATCATTTTTCGGCCATGTAATGAGAAGAGGGAAAAAAGAACATGTTGTGACCACTGGAAAGATCTGTAAAAGGAGGGATAGAGGAAGACAACGAGAGAAGATGCTTGCATGGCATGGAGGTGTGTCGGCACACGAACTGACACATGCTGCAGGAGATCGCAGATTATGGAGAGGCATGATCGCCCACCCCAGTCGGCAAGGCACCTGATGATGATGATGATGAATGTTCAGCTTTGGGAGAGAACATAAACTCCAATAAATCAACAGGTGAGGAAAAGATGCTGGCATTGGATAGGAAGCACACTGTGACAAACCTGAGAACATTATAACTAGAAGAGCTTTAACCCTAACAGACCGCTGGCCCGATTTTTCAGGAATTTCCTAACCTGACACTACACCGCTGACCCTAATTTTAGGCTATTTGTGTAGTGCGTGAAAAAGATGCAACACAAACTAAAAATAACTAGCCAATCGTAATCAGACCTTGTGGATAGTTTTCCTAGATGTCCGCCCTTGTGTGTTTGGATAAAATTTGTTGTTTTACCTGAAAAAACTCTAAAAATTCACAATAAATCGAGCGGCTGATGAACCAAGCACTTTGACTGGAAAGTACAGTAGGTCTAGGCTTTTCACAGTCCAACAGGTGATCCATACTTTGCTTTATTCAGACTCTGCAGAGTCATAATTTCATTAAAAATACGTTCACAGTTGAAGCGACACATTCAGCTTGAATAATGAGGAGAATCTTGACAATTATAAATCTAGAAATAGATCGTTAGTAAGAGAAGAGGGTGTGGACATCACACAAGCGATAAACACCCGATGACACAAAGTGCCACACTGTAGGTGAGGATCACAGTGGAGAGGTCCTAGAAACTGCGTTCAGCCTTTAGGCCATATTTATGGCCAGGCTATATTGCGGTCCCTAGCAAAATCCAGAGTAGGGCTTTAAATAATGAAAAATTTCATCCTAAAAAAGACAAGGAGTGTATATACAGCTATAAGGCACTGACTGACTGACTTTCTACCCCACCAGGACATCGCACAAGCAATAAACACCCATGTGGATGAGGATCACTGTGGAGAGGTCCCAGAAACCGCGTTCAGCCTTTAGGCCATATTTATGGCCAGGCTATATTGCGACCACTGGCAAAAGCCAGAGTAGGGCTTCAAATAATGGAAAATTGTGTCCTAAAAAGGACAAAAAGTAATTATAGTAATGAGCCATAAGGCACCAAGTTGAGGAGAGAATGGGGGAATAAGGCGTTCCTTAACTATCCTGGGTTAAGCCGGATTAAATCATGTAATAATATAAAATGCCACCTCCATAATGGTGACCAGTAGAGGGGTGAATCTGTAGATGTCCTTTTAGCTGCAGTGCCTATGTTAACTATGCAGTTTGCAACAAGTTATTACTGATTGGAGTTATTTCCCTTAAAAACTACATTTTTTCACAGCCCTTAAAGAATTATTTTGAAAGAAGGGGGGGGGGGGGGGGGGGGGGGGGGGGGGGGGGGGGGGAATGAAGTTATTGTTATCTCCCTTTACATTTTAAACTGTCATTTTCTTCCAGCTGTGAGATTATAGCTGCGAGAGCATGGTGGCAGGATTGGTGTTTTTCAACTAAGGGGTGCTACCACACCCTGGAGGGCGCTGGGGTAGTAGCTTCGTCAGTCATATTTATGGGGCAATGGTGTGGCCCAGGGGTGGGCTAGAGCCTTGGGTGCAGTTAAGAGCAATGACTAAACATATTTCCATGGTGGAGACAAAGATGAAGTAGAGAATTGGTGAATAAAATCTGTCACAATCCGGGTGAAGATAGGAAATTAAATCCAGTATAATATAATATAGTACGATATGACAAAAAGGATGAGAAATATTGACATCCTAAAAGATCTGAACATCAAGGAAGATTGGCTAATAAACAGCATCCTTTCTCGAAAGCTGAAATATTTTGGTCATATCAAGTGCCACGACGGATTGGAAAAAATTATAGCAGAAGGCATGGTACTAGGAAGGAGGGGCAGGGGCCGACCGACACGAAGATGGGTAAAGGATATAAGTGACTCCTTGAGTGTGAAAGTTCATGAGGCGGGAGAACTGGCGAGAGACCGAGTTTCTTTCAGGCAGACTGTGATGAGAACGACGTTCTGCAAAGGACCTGCTACATTATGATGATAATGATATGATATATGATAGGATATAGGGTCTGGTAGGATATAATATTATATAATATGTTACAATCTAGTATGTAATCATAACATAATATAATGCATTATGAGTTTTTAATAGATTAAACATCATAAAAATTCTTATTAGATACTTACTTTCTTCATCAAAAAAAAATATGTCAGAGTTGAGATCTTCTATGAGTGTGCAGTCAATCAGAACAATTTTTCCAATATTCTAATGGTAAGACAGAAAATAGAAAAGTTAAAGTATTCATCACAGTAGTAGTACTCTACAAAAATAATTACTGCACAGTCAGACTAAAGAAAAATATTGCTCTACAGCAGGGCTATTCAACAAAGTTTACTTAGGGGTCACAATCCGGAAAATGGGGATCGTCACAGGCCAAAGGCCCCAGACCCAGCAAAGAAAGATTATTATTACCATACAACTGGTGGTGATCCGTGGACCACTTGCTAGGCTCTACAAGATTTCACAAAGAGTAATGATAATTGACTGCATTGTCACCAAGTGTTCAAAGATTAAATGCGGAGAGGTCAAGGACAGAGAGATGATAAGAAAGAGAGTTGGGGAAATGAGAGAAAGAGGGAGAGGACATTGAATGAACAAAGAAATGCTTATGATGAATATTCAAACACCAACTTTTAAAAAGAACAAATGGAATGCATATCATTTGAAACTGTAATCATTTTCTAAGTAGTCTTCTTTGAACTGCACACATTTCTCCAAGCAGTCTAACTATTTCTGGAAGCACTACAGACAAGGCTCTTTTGGAAAAGAAAAAAAAAACTTGGCCATGAAGTCTTCCCATGACTCAAATCAGGTCCCTTCCAGTAGCATTTTCAGCTTAGGAAAACAGTAAAAATGCACAAAGCATCGCATCATGAAGGTTATGGAGCCTGACAAACCATAGTCATGTTGAATGAAAGAGTCTGCATGTCTTCTGAGAACCATTTTATTTTGTACTGGGTTATCTCATTCCCAACTGCCTTAATGTTCAACACAGTTTTATCTAAAAAATTTTTATAATACATCCCCCTGTGGTAACGCCATACTTGCCAACCTATCTCACCACTCTGGTCAATTTTGCCTAGTAACTACATACTGTAGCAACATGCAGATAAGTGTACACATATTTTCTCTGTTCAAGCATGTTATGGAGATTTTAGGACAAACTTTACTGCAAAGATAAATTATTTTATGTTTTGAGGTTTGTAATTGTATAGCTGTTCATTAGTGTGATATGCTTAGGAAGGCGTTCTAGCCGCAATGACCGTCGCATGACCATGTGTGTTATACAATTATTGATACACACACTTATACACACACAAACACACCTACACATACACATACCACATATGTACATGCCACACACACACATACATATCATTTACAATTTTTTAAATAATAAATTGATAATGCAGACAGACAGACAGACCTACATACCTACAGACAAACAGACAGACAGACAGACAAAGAGACAGATAATCTGCCACCTTAGAAGCTTTCATGGCTCAGTTTGGAGGGAAAGTTGTGATGGAAGATTCTCGAGCTTTTAGTCTGACTATGGAGGTCATGGCTGTGACAAAAGCAGTAACATGGCTAAAGACCAAGACTTTCATTGGGGCATGCTTTCTCAGTGACTCGATTAGTATGCTCATGAAGATAGAGAAGGGCTGGGTCCGAAGGTAGTGGTTGGTGGCTATACAGAATTCACGACTGACAAGGATTAGTTTCTTTTTCGTTCCAGGACATGTGGGGGTACAAGGAAATTAGCAAGCTGATACGCTTGCAGGTAAGGCTACTGTGAAAGCCGGACAAGCCATGGACCAGGCTGATATAGTGAATGCTCTAAGAGAGTTAAGACGTTTGCGTGAAACAACTGAGAACTGTGAATCTGCAACCATGGTCAGACTACAAGAAAAACATGTTAAACAAGGTGTCGCCAAACAAAAACACTACGCAGGTAGTCAAAGAACAATAATAAACCAACACAGAACTGGTGTTGTTAGCCGCTACATGCTGCAGGATTTACTAAGGAGGGGATCGAAGCACTTATGGACTGAGTGGTTTGATGTGAAATGATAATCTGCCGACTAACTAACTACCTAACTACCTACCTCGCATGCACGCACACACACACGCACATACATATATACATACATACACAAACACACAGAGCTACACATGCAGACACACACAGACAAACACACACACTGACACACATGCAAACACACACAGACACATCCATGTAGACACACAAAGACACAGTCTCTCACATTCATAGAAACACAATACATACACATGCATTCATATACATATGTGCATTTTGGCTCATATAAACACACAATTATACCTATTCATACACAAACACCTAAACATAAATAAACAACCATATTTCACACAAACACCCAATCCTGTTATTTTTTGGGAGCACAACTGAGTGGGTCATTTAATAATGTTACTACCAAGAAATAAACGAACATAAAGATCAGTTTCATTGCCTTTGAAACTTGTTTAATCTTTTAAAGGCAGAATAGTTACAAAATTAATGGCACCCTTAGTGTTATCTTTAAATCAATTCTAAAAAACATATACATTGCAAGGTGCAAATAAATATGTCACAGTTTTACACTTCAAGGCCTTAAGTCCTTACTTAGGACAGCACATGCTCACAGCAATACTTTATAATGATAGTGCAATGCTCTGTGTGTGTTACATGCTCTGTGTGTGTTATATGCTCTGTGTGTTACATGCTCTGTGTGTGTTCCATGCTCTGTGTGTGTTCCATGCTCTGTGTGTGTTCCATGCTCTGTGTGTGTTCCATGCTCTGTGTGTGTTCCATGCTGTGTGTGTGTTCCATGCTCTGTGTGTGTTCCATGCTATGTGTGCGTTACATGCTCTGTGTGTGTTCCATGCTCTGTGTGTGTGTTCCATGCTCTGTGTGTGTTCCATGCTCTGTGTGTTACATGCTCTGTGTGTAACATGCTCTGCGTGTGTTCCATGCTATGTGTGCGTTACATGCTCTGTGTGTGTTCCATGCTCTGTGTGTGTGTTCCATGCTCTGTGTGTGTTCCATGCTCTGTGTGTTACATGCTCTGTGTGTAACATGCTCTGCGTGTGTTCCATGCTTTGTGTGTGTTCCATGCTCTGTGTGTGTTCCATGCTCTGTGTGTGTTACATGCTCTGTGTGTTACATGCTTTGTGTGTGTTACATGCTCTGTGTGTTACATGCTCTGTGTGTGTTACATACTCTGTGTGTTACATGCTGTGTGTGTTACATGCTCTGTGTGTTACATGCTCTGTGTGTTACATGTGCTGTGTGTTACATGCTCTGTGTGTTACATGTTCTGTGTGTTACATGCTCTGTGTGTTACATGCTCTGTGTGTTACATGCTCTGTGTGTTACATGATCTGTGTGTGTTACATGCTCTGTGTGTCACATGCTGTGTGTGTGATACATGCTCTGTGTGTTACATGCTCTGTGTGTTACATGATCTGTGTGTTACATGATCTGTGTGTGTTACATGCTCTGTGTGTTACATGATCTGTGTGTTACATGATCTGTGTGTTACATGCTCTGTGTGTTACATGATCTGTGTGTGTTACATGCTCTGTGTGTCACATGCTGTGTGTGTGATACATGCTCTGTGTGTTACATGCTCTGTGTGTTACATGATCTGTGTGTGTTACATGCACTGTGTGTTACATGATCTGTGTGTGTTACATGCACTGTGTGTTACATGATCTGTGTGTGTTACATGCTCTGTGTGTTACATGCACTGTGTGTTACATGCTCTGTGTGTTACATGATCTGTGTGTGTTACATGCTCTGTGTGTTACATGCTCTGTGTGTTACATGTGCTGTGTGTTACATGTGCTGTGTGTTACATGCTCTGTGTGTTACATGCTCTGTGTGTTACATGCTCTGTGAGTTTTACTTGCACTGTGTGTTACATGCTCTGTGTGTCACATGCTCTGTGTGTTACATGCTCTGTGTGTTACATGCTCTGTGTATTACATGCTCTGTGTGTTACATGCTCTGTGTGTTACATGCTCTGTGAGTTTTACTTGCACTGTGTGTTACATGCTCTGTGTGTCACATGCTGTGTGTGTGATACATGCTCTGTGTGTTACATGCTCTGTGTGTTACATGCTCTGTGTGTTACATGCTCTGTGTGTTACATGCTCTGTGTGTGTTACTTGCTCTGTGTGTGTTACTTGCACTGTGTGTTACATGATCTGTGTGTCTTACATGCTCTGTGTTTAATGCTATCCATGTTCCTTCAATCTGTGCCAACAAAAAAAGGTAACTGTTGTGAGAATGTGTTGTAGCCATCAGTCATGACCAGTTTATTTATAACTGTCTGCAGCTAAGGGGATGACAATGTGAGCACTGCTCTGCTCTGAATGGCAGCAATCAATAGTTTTCATTGCATGCCATTATAACAAGCCAGTAAGTGATAGTAAGACTTTATTTGGAGCAGGATTTGTTTTTAATTTTTAACTGATCTGTGTCTGCAGATTTATTCTTTTTTTTCTTCGTGTTCACCAGCAGTAAACTCTGGTGGAAAGTTCTGGATTTTCATCCACTTTTGGACTGCAGTCCTGTTCCAGAACCTGAGTTTTGCGTGTGCATCTGTTTTACAGATCTAACTCATTTGTATGCAGACTGCCGGTTCCTTGCCTATCATGCAGATGCACTCCGTCTTTAAAGGAAGCTCCCAATTAGTCAACTCTTTTGATGTGCTTTTGGGTAGGCAGTGGGTCTATTCTTGTTTTCCCTTTAATAGGGGCCCCGGAACCCACACAGGGATCTGCAGATATGAGATCAAGCTATATACTTGAAATAAAAATGTGAAATAAGGTAATGAAAAAGACAATTGAAATACTGTGAATCCGCAGAACACTGATAACATCACAAGTTAAGTTAAGCAGCACTTCTCTGATCTTAGCTTCCTGATTGATCTAGCCTAAAATGTGTACCAGGTAATGTCCTGGGAAGTATAGACTGCTGAAAAGACACTGACAATATCAAGCATCGAATGACGATTGGTCAATCAAAATTCCGAGGCTGCAATAATATGCCCAATGCACCACCATCATCGTCATCATCAAGTACCTTGTCAGCTGGCGTAGGCATTCATGTATGAGCATAGATCTCGGTCTTTGGTGTTCTGGATCACTTACACTGATGATATTCTTCCATGTCACTTTCTTAAGCCATCCATTATCATTTCTCTTGGTCTGTCTCTACATCTTCTACCAGTGATCTTTCCAGTCGTCACAATATTTTCCAGTGCTTCTCTCATCACAGGACCAAAGAACTTTGTTTCCTTTTCATCGTTGTATATAATGTTCAAAGCAGCTACAGGCAGCGAACGGGAGGGGTTGTATGAAGTCTGGTTGCATTTAAAGAACAGACATAGTGCCCTCTGTTGCGCTGAGCATTTCTGTAACAACAGAAGAAGAACCAAAAGGGAGCGAGAGAAATTCTTTAGGGACCCGTTCCAGTTTGCCCGAGGTCTATTTGAGCAACCGAAGTCTGGGACTCTGGTTGTCAATAAAGAGGAGCTTGAGTCACATTAACGCAAGATGTACTCTGACAAAAGAGGAATGAGCCTCTTGATAATAATCCAGAGATCCTTAGCGGCCTCATGCAGCCTGAGTTGCCGAAGGTACCATTTAAAGTGATACCTCCCCTTTGGTCTGAGGTTGAGGAAATTGTGAAAAGAGCCAGCGGCAAGTCTGCTCCAGGTCCGAATGGTGTTCCGTACGTTCTTTACTTTTTTTTTCTAGTTCTTTGTGTCTGATATCAGGCATGCTTATTGGAAAACATAGTTTAAAAGCAGAAAATATAGGATATTTGTGAGGTTTGATGACTTACTTACTAAGTGTTTGTTTGAAATCAATATGGCCGTCGAGCAGTATTCTACATGCATGCCAACATGATTTACAACTTTAGAAGCCTCAAATTTAAATAAAGCATGTGGTTATCAGATATATCTTAAATCAGATAGATAACATTGTGAAGTAGACTTGTTTATAGAGTTAAACTTTGATGATGGATAGGTCTAATGTGTACCTCATGCAAAGGGTACAATGATAGCATATTCAGCTGGCACAAATAGAATAAGTATTAGTTAAAAGGCAATGATTTTCTTTGTTGTCTGTCAGTTCTAGTACCATTCCCCTTATTATTTAGAAACATAGCTATAAAAACTACAGGCAAATTGAGTGTTGTATAAACTTCATTCTGTGTAAAGATACTAATTGTTTTTTTTTAAATCAGTTTTCTTTATCAAAAAATGGTGCTCTGTTATGATGCTTCAAAAGATTCTCTGGAACAAAATCTAATGTATAGACTGAGTTTATATTTTACTTCAACATTAGTAAATAGTTTATTTTCATTTTTGATTCATTTTAGATATATTTTAGTGAGGTTTCCTAAAGTGAATTGGTGGTAAGTGGAATTTTTTTTTCAATTTTTTTTTACTTTTTTCTGAAAACCCACAGTATTTTTATTTACTACTAATATTTAATTACTAACACAATTGTTCATTGCAGCAGTATTCTATTACTATTTACCAGAGAGAGAGAGAGAGAGAGAGAGAGAGAGGGGGGGGGAGAGAGAGAGAGGGGGGAGAGAGAGAGGGGGGAGAGAGAGAGAGAGAGAGAGAGAGAGGGGGAGAGAGAGAGAGAGAGAGAGAGAGAGAGAGAGAAATACACAAGAAAAAGAAGACTCCATACGGGATATAAAAAAAAAAAAGAAGAATTTATATATGGGAGATAGAATATTCCATCTTCCATATATAATATCCTATGTGAGTTACAAAGGCAGAAAAAATTTACTTTATATGAACAGACAAAAAGGCTGAAAAAGAAACTATGCAAGAAAAAAATTAGAATCCATATGGGACATGAATGGTAGAAGAAGAATATTCTATAAAGGTAAAAAGGTAAAGGTAAAGTTGGGAGATATGAACCAGCGTCATTACATACGATTATAAATCATAAGTTCTCTGCCACCAGTAAGGACAGCTGATAAGAAACTGTCTGCCTGTGTCGCCGTCCTCACGAAATTTGGTAGCTACAGCGATGTTCCTCCATTTACCGCAGAGTTTTACTCTGGTACCCATTTCCTAGAGGCTGCATGAACCCCGGGAATCGCTCAGTTTCAAACACCGACCCTGTGGGCTGCAGAAAGTCACAGCTGGATTTAAACATGAGTCTCCTATTGACTGCACTAATGCAGCCCCAGAATAGAATATTCTATATGGGAGATAAAAGGCAAAAGTAGAATACAAAGAGATGGAAGAAGAATATATGGGAGATGGAGGAAGAATACTCTGTATGAAAGATGAAAGAGAGAAGAAAAGACTATAAATGGGAGCTGAACAACAGAAGAAGAATACTCCATATGGGAGATGAGTGATATAACCAGAATATTGCATAGGGGAGCTGAAAGATGGGAGAAGAATATTCTGCGAGCTGAATCACATAAAAAGAATGCTCTATGTGGGAGATGACTGGCAGAATCAGAATATTCTATGTGGGAGATGAAAGATGGAAAAGTAGTACTCTCTATGTGGGAGATGGAAGATGGAAGAGTAGTACTCTCTATATAGGAGATGAAAGATGGAAGAGTAGGACTCTTCTATATATGAGATAACAGGCAGAAGAGTAGTACTCTATAAGGTCTATAAGGGAGATGATAAGCAGTGGACAAATACTCCTTTCTGGAAAAAAAAAAGGCAATAGGAGAACAAAACTCTGCATGGGAGATGAAAGGCAGAAGAGAAATACTCTATATGGAGGTTGAAGAACTAATGAAGAACGCTCTAGATCAGTGGCTCTCAATCTTCCTAATCCTGCAACCTTTAAAATAGTTCCCTCATGTTGTGGTGAACCTCAAACATTTATTTTCCTTCATAACTTCAATGAATATGTGCTTTCAGATGGTCTTAGGCGACCCCTGTGAAAGGGTCGTTTGATAAAAAAAGGGTCACGATCGGTAGGTTGAGAATCACTGCTCTAGATTGAGTTGCACAGCTAGGCAAGAGGAATATTCTACTTGGAAATTGCACAGCTGAACAAGAATAAATTGTTCTGGTGACTACCTACCTAGAATTATGAATGGTGCTGTCAAAAACAGGAGTATTCCTGGCTTTTGGAGTGGCTACCTCACATGCCAGAGGACCAACAAAAATAAGGCCCCATTAGAACTCTATTTACAGCAGAGCAGCCAGACAGACTTCAGAGGGTGCAGCTTTGCCAGGATGGTTACATCAGATAGGTGTATGTTCCATATAATTGCTGAAGAAGACATAGTGACAGTTGATGAGATCAAGGCTGTGCTACAAAAAACAAACAGTGTAGCAGGTCCAAAGGGCATAAGGTATGATGACACCAGTAGGTGTACTGAAGATGAGCCAGAGTAGTAGTAGTAGTAGATTTTTACCCCACTAGGACATCACACAAGCGATAAACACCCGATGACACAAAGTGCCACCATGCGGATGAGGATCGCCGTGGAGAGGTCCCAGAAACCGCGTTTCAGAAGATTGGCCATATACCTATATTGCGGCCCCTGGCAAAAGCCATATCAAAAAAAAAAAGAAAAAAATATCCTAAAAAGGACGAATTAAGCAACAGCCAGAGAAACTAGCAGATCTGAACAAGAAGAATACTCAAGACTGGAGCTGCACAACAGAAGATTTGAATACTGCCTATGAGATATCAGAAAAAGTAAACCAAATATACTATGGGGAATATAGTAGAAAAAAAAAGAAGAATGCTCTAAAATGGAAGAATGTGAATAAAGATAGTAGAAAAAGAATAATGCTTAAAATGGTTGATAAAAAGAAAAAAAAATGTATACACTGTGTACTGTTTTTAACTTATTTTGTCTCATCCAATTTTTACATAAAAACAACAGTCCTAACTACTTCTTTAAGCCTTCTGTCAAATAGGGCTATCCAAATTCTGCATCTATACTTAACCTTGATAATTATATAAATACTTGAACATGGGGGGGGGGGGGGGGCGGGGGGGAACAATGAAGAAGTTATACAACAAAATTAACAAATTAAAGCTTGCCACATATACTTTATATAAAGTAAAATGGCATGCAAGTCTATTGCTAGTAAATGTGCAATAGCAACAATGTGCATATGACTGGTATGTTTATATACACGTTAGGAAATTTGAAAAATAAAATAAACAACTACAATGTAATACTCACTTTCGCTAAATGTAAGCGGCCATTGGAAGCTCTAGTCGTGAGCAAGATGTGGTTGGTGAAAAGGAAAACCTGACGCACAATTTCTTTCTTACTTTCCTTAAACGACGAACTAAAGGATCCTAAACGCCCACGGCTTGACTTTCCTTTCTCGTGTATAAGTTGAAGCAATGGTCCTAGGAAAAAGTATTTAATAAAAACAGTCTTGTGAACCAAACTAACCAAACTACCATATTGTTATTATTATAGCAGTAAAAATAGATTTATAAATCATGAAATAATTCGATCAGGATTTACCGAAAATCAGCTCGAACATTAGTGGGGGACAGAAATTTCGATTAATAAGTTATAGGGGTTTTTTGGTCTGCCTGATTAAGCTGACCCATCTGTCTCCACAGAGAGTGTAAATCAAAGACACCTAGATGATTCTGGTCATGTAGGCCGCATTCCTTACGTGATAGTGTGCTAGCTTGAAACAGTGACGACGTCCAGTGACATTAACTGCGCAAGGACGGTCAAACATAACGGGTGCTTCCCTCTGTCGGTCTCCTGCTTTTAAATAGAGAAAAATCCGCCGCCTCTATACAGTAGAATTACCATCCTTTGTCACCTATTATAAAGAATCTTTGCAGCTTGAAAATATCATAGTTAAATTACAGAACAAGGAGCGGATATACCATGACAGCTGTAATATAAACAAACAACAGAAGACAGAAATCGCAAGCCGTTACTCAACACAGACATACACGACAGTGTTACGCCACTGGAAGCACGGGGCCAAATTATTGACGAGTTTGTGCTGGCCGCTCGTCACGTAAAGAAAATAATGTTCACCCGACTCCAGTCGCAGCGCCAGGGGGGAGGCGGTCAGGTTTCTCTCCACAAAGGTACCAACCATTAGCCTATTCATGGTTTATCTACCCCAAAGAGTCACGCATTCGTGGACTGATAGTAAAACCCGGTTGATACAGGGGTTATTTAAAGAAAAAAAAAGTACCTATACTCAGCATAAAGTGTCTAATCTTCTTCTACACGTTTAGGTTAGGTTAGTTGCGTATCCTTTACAGGACGTTGCAGAACCAACCCCAACAGCCCCTGGCTGTTGTGTGGTTTTTCTATGCAAATTTACGTCCAGTAGTTTGCCATTGCTTACTAGACGGTCGGCTTTCATGATACTACTGTCGAAACCAACCAACGCAAGGAGCATGGTCCGCAGCTTGGATCGAACCCGGCATTACGAAGCGTTCGCATCGACTTAGCCACAGAGCCGACCTCTTCACGTTTACCGAATGTAAACTCGGACGGAAAGTTGTTGACTTGTTCCAGACCTAAGTTTTGCGTGCACCTCTGTTTTACATATCTGACTGATTTGTATACAGAGTGTTGGCTCCTAGCCTCTTATTCAGATGCACTCCGATCTCGAAAGAAACCCTTTGAGTCGACTCTTACGATATGCTTGTTTTGAAAGCAGTGGGTCTCTTCTTGTTTTCCCCACAACCGGGCCCAGGAACGCACACAGGAAGGGAGTAATGTCTAATAAAATGTGATGGCGTGGTGCCCACCGCAGCGTCTATTACAGAAGCGCTGAAAAAAATGCTTTAAAATGTGCCGGTACTGAGTAGAGCTGCTTACCACACGGGGGAAAACCCCGGATAACACGAATTCCAAGGGACCAAATGGAGATCATGTTAAAACGGTCAGAGCCCATAGGGGAATAATAACGATAATAATAACAATCCCTGCTGTGACCAATACTTTGTTCATGTTAACAAAGTCTTCTTCCTAAGTGATTCTGTGTAATCACTTAGTTGTATTTGTGGTATTGTATATTTATGTAATGTGCTGATGAAGGGTCTCTAGCCGCAACGTTAAATTGTTTGTGTCTGTGATAATGTGAAGCAGTCTGGTTAGGGTGACCGTAATATCTTGAGCTGAAAGGAGCATCCCATTAATATTCTGAGCTAAAAACAGGACAACCAGGTTTACTGCCTCTCCCCCCTTCCCCCTCCCCCACATGGGTTTGCGTCCTGACGATGGCGGATTTTTTTTAATGACCTTGACTCCCAGGTCGACCTAGCCTTGAGTGGATATCAGGTGCAGTCCTAAGAAGTAAAATGGCTGGCATGATGCTTACCACAACATTCACCAAGTGCCGATTAGTCTGTAAAAATATAGGTCTTGCCCTATATTTCACAGTACGCCTAAAGGCGTGGAAAGGGGACCTTATATATATATATCTGGCTGTCTGTCTGTCTGTCTGTCTGTCTGTCTGTCTGTCTGCCTGCCTGCCTGCCTGCCTGCGTGTCTGTGTGTGTGTGTGTTTGCATGCATGTGTGTGTGTAAGTGTGTGTGTACACACACACACACACACACACACACACACACACCAAAGCAAGTCAGACTTCATTAAATGTTACAGTGAAAATTTATTTTAATGAATTATTAAAATTGTTAGAAAATTGTTAGATCAATAATGATGTGAAAAAAAATGATGATGGTTTGTAGTGTTTCTCACTGACATTTAACAGAAAATAGAGACAGGGGGAGGCAGAGAGGATCAGGGAGTTCGATTAAAGCTGGGGCTGTAGGGTCTGTCGGCGGAAACGGTACATTTCGATGGTAATGTTTTATAGGTTTTAAGATATATATATATATATATATATATATATATATATATATATAAATATATATATATATATATATATATATATATATATATACACACAACAACAGAGTGAGTGGAAAGAAAAAGAAAGAAAGAAGGAAAGAAAGAGAAGAGAAAAAGGGACACGAAAACGTAGGCTGACTGACTGACTGACTTTCTACCCCACTAGGACATCACACAAGCGATAAACACCCGATGACACAAAGTGCCACCATGTGGATGAGGATCACCGTGGAGAGGTCCCAGAAACCGCGTTCAGACAATTGGCCATATTTATGGCCTGCCTATATTGCGGCCCCTGGCAAAAGCCAGAGTGGGGCTTCAAGTAACAAAAAATTACGTCCTAAAAAGGACGTAAGGAAAGCCATATAGATTAACAAAACGTAGGCTGACTTGACTTTCTACCCCACTAGGACATCACACAAGCGATAAACACCCGATGACACAAAGTGCCAACATGTGGATGAGGATCACCGTGGAGAGGTCCCAGAAACCGCGTTCAGACAATTGGCCATATTTATGGCCTGCCTATATTGCGGCCTCTGGCAAAAGCCAGAGTGGGGCTTCAAATAACAAAAAATTACGTCCTTAAAAGGACGTAAGGAATATATTAAAAACGTAGGCGGACAAAGGAAACAAAGGATGAAATAGAAAGGACCACTCGTTTTGATTTACATTTTTTGCATACATTAATTTAAAATATCAAACAAAAAGTGAAAGGAGTACCAATTTATAAATTTTTTCTGAAACTCTCCCAGAACATCACACAAGCGATAGAGCACCCGATGACACAGAAGTGCCACCATCTGGGTAAGGATCCCCCGTGGAGTCGTCCCAGAAACCGCGTTTCGCCCTAGCCATTACAACCGGTCTACTCTGCGGCCTCTGGCTCGAGAGCCGGAGTAGGGCTCCAAATGAAAGATAGCACCGTGCAATTCACGGTTGCCAATCTAAATAACATGTCAAAATATTGCATCAAGGCATCACAATTATTTGAGGGAGAAGCAGCAGGATATATTTACATGTGCCTTTCGGCTATCATTAATTTAGATTGTTCTTACTCGTCCCACTCATATAGTATAGATTTTCATTTTGAGTGTGTGTGTTTTGTATCTATTCCGTGTACACAGTTTCTATTTTTCTAGCAGATCGCATGCCTTGTTTTTATTGGTATCAGTACATGGTCTGACAATTAAGTAATGAGACTAGTTCCATGAAAATTAAAATAATCAACAGTTGCAGATATAACCTCTCTTTTATTCAAAGTAAGCCCCTTGTGTATTGATATAGCAAGTGGCACGATATAACAAACACTGGAACGACCTCTGTAGTTCTTCCCTTAAAGTCGATGTTACGGCCCTTTGGATGTCATCAAAATAGTTTTTAAAAGCGTCCTATCAATAGAAACTTTAATTTCAGGAATAGAAAATTAATCACAGGGAGACAAGTCTGGGAAATAGGGTGGAAGGCTGAGAACACGCAGTTGTTTTGGGGCCAAAAATTCTTGTTTTGATGATGTATTTGGGTACTCAAGTCGATGATGTGTTTGGTCATCAAACAACGAATGTGGTACAAACCGGCAAAGCAACATTTGTCTTGCCAAAATATTGTTGTATCCGTTCTCTGAATTTTGCAATGTGTTCATCATTACGAACATAAATTTGGCGTACAGGTTTAGGTGGATTAGTAATCATTTCTACACCACTTTTGAATCGTGAATACCACCTGAAAATGTGTGTACGAGATAAGCAATTATCCCCATAAACGTGTTGGATGAGTTGAATTGTTTCAATGGCGCTTTTTCTGAGTTTTAAAAAGAATATAATGTAAGCTTTTTGCTCTGTGCTGATTACATAACAATGCATCTCTGACTAGGTCAACAAAATGGCGGCATATTTGTTATCTGCTTATCGGGCGGTGATAAAAAGTTGCCAGATCATAGATGAATAATGTCTCTTTAGATTCCAAGCTTTGCTTTATATGTGGCATTTATGTCTTGACCATAACAAAATCAGTCTCATTACTTAATCGTCGGACCTTGTATAGCTATATATATATATTTTCCCGTTTAGACCAGATTATATGCCAGTTCTAAATCATACTAAATGATCTATGTCACAATTTCCTAAATCCTTCTATAATCTTTAAATCTTGAGAAAGACTGCATTATTATTCAATTTCCGTCCTCATGTGGGATGCAATTTTTCGTTATTTTGAAACTTTTTTCTGGCTGTTGCCGGGTGCCCTAATATAACCTAATTGTTGAACTGGGTTTCCGGGACCTCTTCACGGGTAATCCTCATCCGAATGGCGGCCCTTTGTGTAACCGACTGTTAGTCGCTCTGCGTAATGTCCCAGTTAAGGTAAAACTTACTTACTGCATTAAATTTATATAGGACTATAAAATGTATTAATATCTACAAATATAGGTTGTTGTTGTTATTCTTCTTCTTCTTCTTCTTCTTCTTCTTCTTCTTCTTCTTCTTCTTCTTCTTCTTCTTCTTCTTCTTC